TCTAGCTGCCCTTCAGGTCTGGAATTGAACCCACACCTGTGGTTTCCAGCCAAACAAAATACAGGCATATGAGTTAAACATTTACCTCAAGTAGATACAGGCCTTGGAGAGAACAATCATGGGAGAAAGAAGGGCTGCTTATGCACAGGGAGCCAGCTCAGGTGGCAGGAGTGTATGGAGGGATAGACACTGGGAAGAGGTAACTATGGGGAGGAAGTGGGAGGGGAGCTGATGCATTGTGGTAAACTGTGGTTAATGACACGAGACAAAGTATACGTGAACTACTGTATGGAAAGTAAATTTGCTCTGTAAATCTCCCAAATTCCTGCCACACACCCACCCCCCCAAAAAAAAAAGAATCAGAAGACTTGAAGATATCAGTTTTGGTTACCTAGTGCAGCTCTCTCGGTACCATATTTTGTTCCGGTTACCTAGTGCGGCTCTGAAAGGAGTAAGTATACCACAAATGGGATGGCTTTAACAAACAGTAGTTTATTGCCTTACAGTTCGGTGGTTTTAAGTCCAAGTTCAAAGTACCAGACTCTAGGGGCTGGGTGAAAATCCCTCAACCTTGGGTTTCAGCTCTATCTCCTTCCAGAGGCACTGAAGCCAGAGGCTTTCCTTCACTCAGACAGCTGCTGGCTGCTGAGGCTGACAAGACTAAGGTTAACAAGTAAAAAAGGCACAGTTCTTATGTTACCAAACCACACAGCAGGCCATTAATTCAAGTCCATTTAAAGTCCCAAGGTCAGCAGAGCATGGCAGGCTTCTGAACAATGACATGGCTACATGCAGGGTTCAAGCATGCCATAAGCTAGAGACCATTTCTTAAGGCTTCTCCTTATATACAGGAAGCAGACCATATCCCTAAAGCAGCTACTCAGCTGCTCCCAGTAGATTCCACCATGAAGTTGATTACCAGCCTCATCATGGGGAATACTACATCCAGCTGACCAGCCACTCAATCAGGCCCAGGCCAGTTGACACACAAACTTAACTACCAAAGTATCCTAGGCATTAGTGAGCTAAAATGGACTGGTACCAGCAATTTTTCAATCAGAAAATCATATGTTCTACTATGCCAGGAATGACAGATTGAAGAGGAATGGTATATTTATCATCAGAAAGAAAATATCAAGAACTGTCTTGAAGTACAATGCTCTCAGTGATTGGATAATATCCACATACCTACAAGGAAGACTAGTTAATACTACTATTACTCAAATTTATGTGCCAATCACTAATGTTAAAGGTGAAGGAAATGAAGATTTTTACTAAATTCTGCAGTCTGAAATTGATCAAAATTGCAGTCAACATGTATTGATAATTACTGCTGATTGGAATGCAAAAGTTGGCAACA